AAGGACAGCTGGTTAACACTGACAACTGAGCCCTATACTTGGGCAGAGGGACATGGAAGGGCAAGAAAGTAGGTAGGAAAGAGGCTAAGGGAAGCCCTGGGGAAGATGCTATTAGGTTTCATAAAGCCCAGTGTTTCTGAGGTGATGAGCACTAGTGGCTGAAAAGGCAGGGGCACTGTGACTAAAAGAAGGACGATAGCTTCATACATGAAGCTCTAAAAAGCCAGATATATTATGACACTCAGAGCAAGTGGGCCAGGAAGCAAAGACACCACATCTCCAGTGACATCCAAATCTACAGTGGCTCTGGAGATTCCGGCACATCCAAATATGTACTAAACTATGTGCAGGGCATTGTGGCAAAGGAGGCAGGGAAAGTAAGGCCCTCAAATGACCTCAGTCTAGCAGCGGGGACTGGACCCAAATCACAGGGAACAGGGAAGACTTTAGAAGGGAGGTGGCATGAGAGCTGCAGACTGGCTGGTAGAAAGCATTCCACTAGGCTGAGAAACAAAGTCTTGAAGGGAAATGAGAGGCAGAAAGACCTGCATGAGGTAGGAACACAGAAGCGACGTTACGCTGTAGCTGGAGTATTAGGGCAGCAGTGGGAAAAAAAAGCTAAGTGAGGGTCAGACTAGAACAACTCTAAAACCAGGTTAACAAATTAGGATGAGTAGGATTCCTTTTTTTTTAAAAAAATACATGAGCACTGGGTGCTTTTCAAGTTAATAACAGATATTATATGTAGAGTGCTTACTCTGTAGAACCTACACACGCCCAATCCTACAAAACCTTAGATGGTAGGTGGCATGCTCCCATTTCCATATGAGGAAAGAGAACTGCAGAGCGGTCACAGCTTAGCCAGGACACACAGCTATTAAGGACAGGGCTGGATTCAGATCCTAACTCCACAGTTTATGCTCCCTCTTTGTGGTCTTTCTCACCTGGGGTTTCTCCTTTGAACCACAACTGGGAAATTATTTGAGTAATGATTTTCTCAATTCTCTCAAGAATGGTACATAACTCGTACCACTTTAGATGCCTGGGAGAGAAATTAATTCCTTGTGTGCAACAGACGCCTTAAAACATTAGAGCTTAATTTTCCAAGGAACCCTGGTTGAGAAAGGCTGCGTGACAAGAGATATGTTTTAGGAAAATCAATCCGGCAGTGGGATCACATCCCTGGGAGGAAAAAGCTGCAAAAGCACCTAAACAGCCTCGGAACTACTGGGATGAGTCAGCTCCAGGGGCTTGAGGAAGGAGGCCCCCATCTTCTCTAATTACTTGTCTTCTCAGTTGTCCTGCCCTTCCTTCATTCCTCCAACCTTTTCTTGTACTTGGCAGTCAAGTACTGAAGCAGAGCCTTCCTGCTCATAAGCCAGCAACCCAGGCAGAAGCAGCATCTTCAGAGATGAAAACCACAGAAGCCAGTGCACCCACTTTTCTGTGGAGGCTGGGGGTAGAAAACTGGCACTACTGAACTCAGAACTCTTCCACAGAAATCCATCTGGCAAACTCCTATTACTCTCCCTGATAAGGCTGAAGCACACCATCCTCTGGGAAGCTTTCTGTAACTGATTCCACCTCCCTGCTCACCAGGCAGAAGCAGGTATTTCCTCCTCGGTATCCCCACAGCCCCTTGTCCAGGACCCTGCTCGAGCATCTGCCTGCTGTCACTGCCTGTTTCCATGTCTGTCTCCTCTACCAGTCTGAGCCTCTCTCAGGGTCAGGGACAGTTTGCCAGATCCATCTTAGGATGCCCTGAGGTCCATCTCAAAGATGGCAACTGGCTTACCCAGAGTCACACTACAGAGCTGAGATCAGACACACTACAGGTCTGTCTGATCCCCAAGACTGTGTTCTTTTCACTATGTTTCAGGGTCTCCCAAAGATGAAGAAGGGCCTTTCTGTGCTAAGCACCCAGCCCAACACTGAAGAGTTCAGAGGCGGTGCTATCAGAGTAGACCAGACCACCTGGAGAGGCTTCCTTAGAGGTAGATCCTTGAAGAGTCTGAGGATCTAGCTGAGGAGAGAGGGCACACGATGGTGTTTTAGGCAAGGTGGGGAAGCTGAGGGGCAGAAACAGAATTAAGAAGCCATTAGGTAGGAGTACAGGTTTCATGGGGGAGGAATGGGATTACAGCTGCCAGGTGAGAGTTTGATTTCTTTATACAATCGTGGAGCACCTACCTGTACTAGGAGCTTTTATAGATGTCATCACTAATCCTTATGCCCACTAATCACTGTGATATTTCCCAGGTGTTACTTTACAGACAAGAAAACTGAGGCTTAGAGAGTTAAAGTAACATGTCCAAGCCAACAGAGCTAGTAGCTGGGGAAGCTGGGATTCAAACCCAGGTTGGTCTGACTCTGAAGCCTAAAGTCCTTTTTATTACTCCATGCTGACTCTTAAGAGGTCAGAGAACTTCCCACATTACCAGACTGATGCTGCTGCCTGGACCACCCCCCACCCCCAGCTCTCACGTGGGGACTGCTGATCAGAGGGCAAGCGCGGTTGCCCCCTCTAGCTCTAACCCTCTAAGATCTGGGGGCCCTAAATCCCTGTGGACTAAGCAATTTCAAGGACAAGGGTTCGGTGTTGACCTCGTGAGCACAGGCTGGCCCTGTGTCTAAACCTGCCTTGGATCTCACAGAGAAAGCCTCTAAGGTGCTGTAGCAAAGCCGGTGGCAAATATAGGCTAAAAAAGCTGGATGGTCAGGAAGGCAGGGCCTGTATTCCCTGAAACCTTCTGGAGGAGGTCAGCTGAGGTCAGAAAACTTCGGAAATGTCACTGACAAGAGCCCCTAGGACAAGGGAGCAGGATCCTGCCTCTCGGTTGGCTGGTCACACACACAAGCAGACCAAGAGAGGTCAAGGGGGGAGGGAGGTCAGAAGTTGGCAAGCCTGCAGGCCCTGAGTGATGGCCACTTGTTCAGGTCAGGAAGGGAGAAATAAGTGGGTTAATGGTTTTGGCCCTTGAGGCTGGGAGGCTAGGGCAGGGGGTGTAAATGGATTCTGGGTAAAAAGGCAGGTGGGTGAACTGTAAAGGTGGGGGCTAAGGGCATCTGTTCCAAGTCAACAAGCAAGAACCATGCCCCTGGAATTGCTCAAAGGGCCAGCCTTGGCCTGGGGGGTGAGGGTGGAGGGGTGCTTCATAAAAGGCCTGTGTTTCTTCATTTCAAAGGTGTTCGATCTGGAAGGCTGGGGAGAAGGACTCTTTTTAGAGTGAATTCCCTGTCTGCTTAGGGGCTGAGGGGAAGCAGGGAATGTAAACCACTGGACAATAGCTGGGGGTATTGATTGATTTTAAGGCATGGCAGAGAGAAGCTCCATGGTGAACACTGCAACTCCTAGCTACAGATGTCTCGTTGGAGAGCTTTCCAAAGGACAAAGTGAGTAGCATCTTGCTTGGGGACATTTTCTAAGTCTCTGCTTCTGAGAGCAATGAGTTCTTGCTCCAAAAGCATCAGTCATCCCAGGCGCCGTCACCACATCTGTGAGCAGTCCTGCGCCTCACAATGTACATGCCCCAGATCAAGGCACACTCTGGGTGCTCTGGGGCAGGTAGGTCCCTTGTAGGCTGGGGATATGGGCCAGGCCTGAGTCTTAAGTGAGTACGGCTGGGGCTGATGGAAGGTGGCAGGATTTGAGGGTTACTGAGAAATCCTTCCAGTCCAATCACATGACAAGGACTAGAAAATGATCTGGGGAGGTTGGGCCAGGGAGGCAAAGGCTCTGGGACTTAAAGAACTTTCGTTGAAGACTGGGTTTTGAAAAAGTGATTGGCTGCAAAGGACAGGTGGCAGAAGATACAGAGAAGAAAATCACACCTCATTTAAAAGAATCTATTTCAACCAGTCAGAGAAGAACTAAAATGGAATGGACTCCTAGGGAAGAAGTAGGATTCCCTGAGTCCCTGAGAGAATCCAAGGAAATGCCAGTCAGCCAGCTGTTGGAGAGGTTTCTGCCAGGAGAAGAGAAGTCAGGCAATCAGGGTAACCCAGAGGACTTCTGAGGATCCTTCTAGCTCCCAGGTTCTATGAAGAATGACCACTGACAAGGAATACCCTGGCGTCCAGGCCCAAGAGAGGGTCCCTAAACCTTTAAGAAGTGTAAGTGAGGGCATAAAAAGGCAGTCAATGCCTTACTCACTCTGGGGCCTGGGCACCACACATCCTGGCAAGATGCTTCCCTCCCTATTCCAAGGAGAGGCTGGAGTGGGATGAGGGAAAGTGACTGCGTGGGAGGCATCTGACAGGGTGGCAGGTAACTCTGTAGCGGGCCTGGACAGGACCAGACTAGCCTGAGTCTGGGGATGGTATGTATTAACCCTCCAATTAAATCAATGCTCTCTAAAGGAAGGGTATTCAATCATTCAGCAAAGAGTTACTGAGTGCTTACTGTGTGCCAGGTACTTTACCAGGTGCTGGGAATGAATCAGCCATGGTTCTTGCCTTTGCTTTCAGGGAGCTCAGAGTCAGGTTAGAGAAAAGGCTACTGAACACACAAAAACAATTCCAGATTGCAACAAGTGCGATGACAGAAAAGAGTAGGGTACCATGACCCAGAGTAATGGAAGGAGCCTAATTTAGACTGGGGTGGAGGTGGGATCAAGGAAGATGTCTTTGAGACTGGGGTTAGTAGAGATTTGAAGGGTCTCCCCCTTGGTCCACCAGCCCTGCTCTGGAGGTCACAGGGAAGAAGACAGGACACTTTGGGGGAGAGCAACAATCAAGAAAACTCTCAGAGCATGTGCAGACAGGCAGGATGGCATGGTACCTCACACAATCACAGGCAAAGAATGCACTCCAGCCACATGAGGGCATATCACACATGCACACGGCCACTCTCATGAAGTGCAGGCACCCTCGAGGCATTTCCAGCTCTAAGAGGGTAACAAGGCTCTGGGGAAGCATGGCATTTCCAGGATAGAAAGGTTGCTAAGTCCTTACCCTCTTTCCCTGCCCCCCCGCCCCGCCCCATTCACCCATGACCTCACCTCCACCAAGCAGCTCCCTGACGGTGCGGTAGTCGTCGGCAAGGACAGCATAGTGCAGGGCTGTGCAGCCCTTGAAGCTGGCACGGTTGTTCAGCCGGTTGTTGAAGTCATCCTCTCGGGTGACCAGGACTAGAGGGACAGCAACACAAATCCTTCCATTAGCAACAAATGCCATGAGCTGCCAACCTCGTCTTCTTTCTCTTGGCATTTTAATTCCCTCATTCACTCATCTACCTACTTACTAAACATATAATGGCACCTACTATGTGCCTGGCCATCTGTGCTGGGAAAGAGGAGGTAAAACAGAGCCCATCCACAAATGTTTACTGACATCCATTATGTTGATAGGATTCACTTGGGGACACGGAAATGAATCAGACATGGTCCCTGACCTAATCTGACAAAGGAGGCAGACAGTAGACAGATGTTTACAGTATTGAGATAAATGCCATTATAGGTATAACGGGATGATATAGAAAGCCAGAAGGGAGCTTAGCTCAATTTGGGCATGGAGAGGATCTCAAAAGAGGACAGTCTTGAAGGGTGAAGAGAAGTTATCCAGGTGAAGAAAAGAAGGCTAGGGTAAGACTCGGGACAAGGGACTTCCCTGGTGGCACAGTGGTTAAGAATCCGCCTACCAATGCAGGGGACACGGGTTCGAGCCCTGGTCCGGGAAGATCACACATGCCGCAGAGCAGCTGGGCCCGTGCACCGCAACTACTGAGCCCATGGCTCTGGAGCCCGTGAGCCACAAGTACTGAGCCCGCGTGCTGCAACTACTGAAGCCTGCGCGCCTAGAGCCCATGCTCTGCAATGGGAGAAGCCACTGCAATGAGAAGCCCGTGCACCACAACGAAGAGCAGCCCCCACTCGCTGCAACTAGAGAAAGCTCACGCACAGCAGCAAAGACCAAATGCAGCCAAAAATAAATTAAAAAAAAAAAAAGAAAAAAGACATGGGACAAGTCAGGAAAGAGACAGAGGCTGTTCTTAGCAGAACAGTAACATACCTCCTCTGTGCTCTGAAGACGTCTACTATCTAGTGAGTATTTAATATTTCGTAAAGAACTTTTAAAATTTATAAAAGCCATTAAAAATTTGAAAGTACAAAGAAGAAAAAGCATCATTATCTCTGCAACTTGAGAAACTGCATTTAGTATTTTGGTACACGTCCTCTGATATCTATATCTACATCTATATCTATAGGTATAGCTATACCTGCATATATATCCTACAAAACTGGAATTTACTACATTGCAATTTTGTAATCTGCCCTTTTTTCCCTTAATAAATGTACTGTGAACATTGTTTTTGAAGGTAGGAAGAATAAGCATTTCATGTGTCAAAGAACCAAAAACCCCCAGGCTCACTCTAGTGCTAATATTAGTGAGTCTCTCTCTCCAAATTGATACAAAAGAACCTAAAACCAGTTGCATCACTCTAGGTTAGGTGACCAAACATGTCCTTGTTCACCTGGGACAGTCATGACTTTTGCTTTTTGTCCTGAATGGTCCCACTCTGGACAATATTTGGAAGGCTACCCAACCTCTGGGCCCTCCCTTGGGAACTGAGCCCCCGTGGAACGATACCTATGCTGCTTAGGTGATGGGGTTTCTTTCTGCCTCATGCAGAAATTATTGGAGTTCTTGCCTTATGTTCCCTCCTGAGCTTAGTTCATTGGAGGAGGAATTTGGTTCCTACCTACCTGTACCCACTCCTCCCCGAGTCCAGGGCATAGGGCCTGCAGAGGGCAGGCTCCTCCTACCTCCCACTGGATAAAGGCGTGTAATTCATAACCTTGCCTATGTAGTCAAAAGCACCAGACAATTCTGAAACCATTCTTTTCCAAGCTGTCTTGGAATGGAATCTATGCATTTTCCCCTCCTACAAAACTGAACTTGCTATTTAAAGTCCCAAAAGCCAGAAGACTGTCATGCCTTTTCCTAATCCTAATAGATTTCACTTACTGACCTTCCTCTACTCTGGCTGACATGGTCATTTCACACAATCTATTTAATTCTCCTAACTACCTTATATAGTAGGCATTATAATTCCCATTTTATAGATGAAAGCTAAAGCACAGAGATCATAGAGCTAATAAGTGGTTAAGTGAGGATTAGAACCCAGGTCTAATCTGAGTCCTCACCCTTTTTCCCCATCACAGCATGCTGTCACTCTCATTTTGCAAATGAGGGAATCAGAGCCCAGATCCCAGATGTTCTGGTCCCAGCCTTGGCTCCTACTCCCTCTTCTTTCCCTGCTCAAGTGAAGGTGCCAGCACACTCTCTGTGGAACTTGCCCTAACAAAGATCAGCCTGAGGTTTGTAGCTAATACCGGATAAGCTTACTTAGGTGGAAGCATTTCAAATGTTTGGTCAAAATGAAGTTGTTGGAGTGTGTAACTGGGGAACAGACCACACTTTCTTGTGGTATGGTGAATCAATGGTCCATCAGCTCTTCTGTAGCAGTCAGAGGCTCTCCTGACTGATGACCCCCACCCCTGGAGTTATCTGACCTTTCCTGGAGCAGGGAAAACAGGAAGAAGGCCTCTGATTAGCTAACGTGTAAGTCCGTTGTGCAATGGCATCTGCATTTTTCTCATAAGAGCCCTTTAGGATCTAACTCAGAGATTAACTCTTGGTCACGAACAGTCTCATCAAATCATGGTAAGGGATCTTGTTTCCAGCCCACTGCAGATTAGAAGAAGCAAACTAGAAGGCTAGGGAGAAGTCTTCAGAATCAAGTACGCTGATTACAATCAAGTGCTGACCTGGCAGGGAGGGAAAAGAACAGCACAATATAAAGCTGAAAGAGGAAGCCACAGAATACAGTGCCTCAAGAGCCCCTAGGGCACCACTGAATTGCCACGTAGGACATTAACTGCTAGATATAATGATGAACCTGACGAAAAGTGATAGCTGGTTCAAGAAAGCAGGAAGGGTATAATCCATTTTACAAAGAAAATATATCATTCATTCAAAATATATCATTAATGAACACCAATGCATGGTAGCTTCTGGAGATATACTAATAAGACACACTTCTTGACTCTAAGAAGTTAACAGTCTAATGCAAGAATCAGACCACTGAATGGACAAATTATAACACTGTTTCACGAGTGCAAGACAGAGCTATACACAGGGTGCCTACCATAAAAAAGTAGATGAACTCAAGGGACACAGCTGGTCTATTTGGTTCAGGGACAAACATCAGCAGAGTGGCAGTGTCACAGCCCAGCTAATAAGGAATGTCCATGAAGAGGGCCCCTGCTCCCCTCTGAGGTCTCATCACTTACCATCCCCTTCCTAATGCTCTTTCTTGCCTCTTGGATTTTGCAAATACTATTCCACAGCCTGGAACATTTCCCCCTCTCCCATGCCTTCAACTGACTAACTCCAATTCACTTTTAGGCCTCTGATTAAAAGTCATTTCCTCTAGTGATTCTTGCTGAGTTTGAGGTAGTTACTCCTCCCAAGAGCTTCCCTAGCACTTTAGGCATTTCCCAATTATGGTATTTATTACCCACTCCATTGCAATCATCTGTTTACTTGACTACATTCCCCACTAGACCAAAAGCACAATAAGGACAGGAAGTGTGACTGTCTTCCCCACAGCTGTATCCCAGTGCCCAGTACAGTGTCTGACCATAAATATGTGCTTAACAAATACTTGCTGAATCAGCAAATGCATACCTAATACATAAATAAGGCCCTAATATTACCTTGTTTTGGGAATAATAATAATAATGCCAGCCAGCAGTATTTAGTAGAGGAAGTAGAGTGCAGCTGTTAAAAAAGTGAGCTCTGGAGCCAGACCACTTGTGTTTGGGTCCCAGTTCTGAATTTTTTTTTTTTTTTTTTAACATCTTTATTGGGGTATAATTACTTTACAATGGTGTGTTAGTTTCTGCTTTATAACAAAGTGAATCAGTTATACATATACATATGTTCCCATATCTCCTCCCTCTTGCGTCTCCCTCCCTCCCACCCTCCCTATCCCACCCCTCCAGGCTGTCACAAAGCACCGAGCCCCAGTTCTGAATTTACTGACTGTGTAATCTTGGGTAACTCACCTAACCTCTCCATGCCAAGTTTCTTAACCTGTATGCAGAGATGGTAACAGTGCCCTCTCATGGGATATTGTAAGGATTGAATGAGACACTGTGAGTAAAGGGGCTTGGAACAGGGCCTAACAGTACCTCTTAGTCAATGTCGGCTATTATCCTTACTGTCTAGTCTTGTGCTTCCAAAAGTGTATTCTCTCTGTGAAAAGAGGTTTGGGGAACCCTGCATGCACTTTTCCCCTCCAAAAGGCACAGTTGTGAGTAAGAACCATCTGTTTAATTTGGCATTACTCAGCAGTTTTATGTCTGACAGCCTCTTTCCACCCAACCCTTGTTAAAATCCTGCAGTACTGGTGTTCCATGGAACACTCTTTGGAACTGGGTTGTGCATAACAATCTGTAAAGCACTTCATTTACTTATTTATTTCAGAACGACCCTGTGAGGTGGAAGTTCACTCTCCCTATTTTATAGATGGGGAAGCTGAAGTTCAGCAGGGTGCCACAGTCAGTCAGCGGTGGAGCTAGGACCCAGTCCAGGTCAGCTAGGCCCATTTCATGCTCTTAACAGTAAGCTCTTTTCCCCTCATCGCCCAGTTTTAGAAGCCCTGACCCAGGATATCTTGCTGAACCCCCCAGATCATTAGATCTCATACTCTTCTGTTTAAAAAAAAAAAAAAAAAAAAAAAAGACTAAAGGTGGGAAGGAGGTGTGTGCAGCATGCACCCTCATGTTCTCACTTGCTCTCACAGAGAAAGCAGAAGCAAACCCACAGAAGCTAAAGTGACTCATCCAAGGCTGGCTCACCAGCTGGCCACCACCGTGGTCTTTTGAGGCCTGGCGTTTACAGCTGGTCCTCAGCCAGTGAACCATCCCCTCCCCAAAGACATCTACCAGCCTGTCTCCAGCACAGGGGGAGATGGGCTCAGGCTCCTGCTTCCCCTCCAGGCCAGCCATTCCTGTCCCTTCACCCTTGTGGCCACAGGAAGAATGACAAACCATTACTTTGTTATCCTTCTGCTCCCACCTCTGCCTTTTGATGTTGCAAAGTCTATGGCACGGTGCCGTGG